GGCCACCCAGGAGCAGGCATAAGCCAGCAGGTCGTTATCTCCCGGGGGGTCCCAGACTGCGAGAAGGCACAGGCCTCTCCCCAGAGTGCACAAATTTTTGTGCACCGGGCCTCTAGTATATAGATATATGTGTGTGTATATATATAATACATGTATACACACACACACACACACACATACACACACACACATATATAATGTTGAGAAAGAATGGAGTGGCTTTATTTTTTAATTTATTTTATTTACTTATTTTTTTGTGTGACTCCCTCCTTAGATGAACTGTTCAGGGATGGAGATGACCTTAGGAGGTGACACTGAGGAGCGGCCTGAAGGGATTGAGCTGAGCACGTGGAGCAGGTCGAGGTACAGGAAGCCTAAGCTGCCGTGGAGAGGGATTCATTTTGGCCCCTTTGCTCCACCTGTCCCCCACAGGCCCACTGAAAGAATGAAGGAATGTCGGACCACCTCAATTTCCCTCCGGGCCCGGGCCCCCGACCCTCCCCCAGAAGTCAAGAACTCAGCGTGGAAACCAAAATAATGCTGCTTTATTCCAATCTTGAAGCACAATAGCTCCGATGGCTCCCCTCCCCCACTGGAGGCCCCCAAGGCCATCCCACAAAGACTCTCCGTGCTCCCTCTTGTTCCGGCTTCTGGGAATGACCAATCAGAAGGTGAAGGGATCCGAGCCTCCAGACCTCAGATCACCCCGCTCTTGTCTTCTCTCCCACACCTTTCCTGTGTTGGGTCTCCCTGTGTTCTCCCCTCTCCTTCACCTTGTCTCCTTCCCGGCCCCTCCTCCTGCCTCCCTCGGCTCCTTCCTGTTTCTTCTCCATTTCCGCCTCCTTTCTTGCGCTCTCTCCCCCATTTCTATCTCCTTGTTGTCTTGTCTTCCCTTACCGCTCCTCCATCTGTCCGCTTTCTTCCTTGCTTTGCCCGTCTCCTGCTGCGCTCCGTGGACTTGCCCTGTCTGCTCCTGCCAGGCTGTCCCCGGAGGCTGGCGTCCTCCGCTCCCTCGGTTGTCCTTTCTTCCTTCTGCCCCGGCCTGGCCCTGTCTATGCCTGGATTCCCTCAGAATCCACCCTGGCCACCGCCTTCCTCACCGGTGGCTCCAGGCCCTTGGAGAGCACTGACCACGTTCCCGGGGACCCAGGAGCTGGCCAGAGGGGCTGGGGTGGCCTCCTTGGCCTCTGGCCTTGTTATCTTTGGGATAAAAGAATGCCCCCCGGCCCTCGCAGGGAGGGCGGCGGGCAGGGGCTGTGGGTCAGGACTCTGGGGCTCTCCCCCAGCAATCCCGGAGCAGGTCCACGTGGAATAAGGCCGCGCCCGTGAGGAGGCGCGCCGCGAAGAGGTGGCGGCAGGGCAGATGCCGGGCGGCGTGGATGGAGCAGCTGCAGCGCGTCAGGGCGCCGTCCAGGAAGAAGTCGGAGGTGCCGTCCTTCAGGGCAAAGCCGGCTCCAGCCACGTGGAAACCCCGGGTCCCGTGCTGCCTGGCGAAGGACAGCTCCTCCGCCACCAGGTCCGCCAGCTCCGGCCCGCAGGCCGCTCGGAACTTGGCCAGCGGCTCCCAGTCCACCTCCTTCTCTCCGGAAGGGCAGCGAGGTCTCTTTGGTTCCCTGGGGCCTTCTCCTTCACTTCCTTCCTGGGGTCTGTCCCCTGGCCATTCGGGATCACCCTCAAACACAGTGCCCGTGGGGGTGCCGCCCGCGACTCCGTTCCCCAGCCCTAGACACCTCCCTCCTGCGTCCAGACACTCCCTTCCTTGCCCTCGCCGGTTCTGGGGACCCCCAGACCGAGTCCCCCCTCCCTCTCCATCCTCCAGGCCCGTCGCCCTCGTGTCCCCTAGCTGGACCAGAACCACGTCCTCCAGGTCCCTTCTCCTTTTGACCCCCGACCTCACTCCTCTATCTTCTCTAACTTCCGGCCCTCTCCTCTCCTGTCCCCAATGGGGCGCCCTTTGGTCTCTGCTCTCAGGGACCGGCTCCGGGGGCTTCTCCAAATGGGCCCCCCTCCAGTGCCTGACCTCCACCCTCCCTCCCTTCTCCGCTTCCACCCGGAGCCCCTTCTGGTCTCTGGGTTTCAGTCCAGAGACCTTTGCATCAGGCGCCTGCGCGCCCCTGCGGCTGCCGCTGCCTCCCTCCAGGGCCCTGGCCCTGGCGCAATCCAACTGGCTCCTCCCGTCCGCGGCCTGCAGAAGTCGAATCCTTCGGTCCTCCCACTGCGCCATCCTCCAGGCATACCCTTCCAAGCTCCGCAGCCCCTGGTCCCCCGCGGGGGGCCCCCTCCAGACATACCCTTCCAGCCCCCAGTCCTGCTCACCCTCCAGCTGGGCCCCCCTCCAGCCTTTGTGCTCGCTCTCCAGCTGGGACCTTCTCCAGACGCTCCCCTCGAGTCCCCTCACCTTCTGGTTCTCCAGCTGCACCCCTCTCCAGTACCGGACTTGCACGCCTCGCTCCTTCTCCCTTTCGGACTGAGCCTCGCGCCGGTCTCTGGTCTCCAGTTCTCTGGCCCACTCCTCTAACGGGGCGCCTCTCCAAAGACTCCCTTCAGGGGGGGCCCCTCCCCAGTCTCCGTTCTCCCGGCCCTTGGCCCTCTCATTCTCGACCTGCGCTCCCCTCCACCGCTCGCCCTCCAGCCAAGGCCCCCCGCCGTC